CGTTCTTACAGAGACGTGATTCGACAATTAAGATAAATCGGGTTGCAATGCGACCTCGTGGCTATGTCTGTGATACAATAATTCACTCGCGTCCGGTCCCATTCGCCATCATCCACGCACCCGTACAAAATTAACGGTCTGCTACATTAGGAAACTCATCCATTCTGAAAACAATGGCTGAATTGTACTGAAAATCAGTGATACCCAATGCAGCTCGTATCTTCATGAATCCTTGAACCCTAAGGTCGTAACTGTCTTAGTGTTGTTGTTTGGTCATTTTCATCTAAGGTTAACAGAAACTGTCGTTCAGAATTCTTACATTGCCCATCTTCCCATCTCGGAGGCATAGGTTGATCTGCCAGAGTACACTGTTGTCGACAAATTCGACTCCAATACCTCACCTAACACCGAGGTATCAGTATTTTCTTTGGCCACTGTTTTCCAAGCCATATTACTCGCCATTTGTATTGCATTAGAGTTGAACGCTCTTTACTTCTCAGCCACCTATTCCATGCAGTCTTTTGCCGGCGGTCGGTTTCCCCGAGAAGTTCGCTTCTGATCTCCTGTCTGCACCCAAGTCCGTTTTAGACTACATCATTCGTATCTGAGGAAGGTTGATGTTTTCCTTTTAAATCTCTGGTTGCTTCTACCGTTAAGTTTGCGCCTCGTACTCTATATTTTGCAGTATAGAGTGAGAACAATAAGTTGGTGATTAGTTGACAGCTCTGCTTCTGTCTTACCGCAAACATCCCTTACAGAGCGTCTTAAATCAGATCATCGACTTCAATGCAAGATTTCAATATACCAGATATACTGTTTTGCTCACAAAGCCGCAACTAATTCATGCCGCTATTATTGAGATGGCTAGGGCCATTCGTTCCAATCAGGCCTATCCACTTTTCAACTTCTGCTCTGACATATGCATTGAGATCGCGTATTAGAATGAGATACTCCGCTGTTGGCACTTCTTGCAGAGCTCACTCCACTTCCTCAAGGAAGGACTCATATTCTCCCTCCAAATTGGGTGCATAGACCTATAACCAGGTCAGGGCATTAGACAATCATTCTTTTCAGTCGAAGGAATGCCACATTTTTCTTGACACACGTCCATTCAATGATTCTTTCAGCCAGATTGGGTTCTGTTAAAGCATTAGTACAGGCTTGCCTGAGCACGCGTCGTGAGGTCGACACCTGAGTAAAATGGCTTCCACTCGCAGAGGTTCAGAATTCCATCGATTTGGTGCTTCGCTGAAGAGAGTCCAACTATATTGCAGCTTCATCATTACGGCTGTTGTTTTTTCCATGTGAATGAGGAAATGTTCCAATTTCCTACTGTGAATTCCCACTGTCAGCATCGTTCCCGTAGAACCTCACCTAACTTTCTATAACGGTATTGCACTGACTGTATTTT